CCCCTAGAATCTCTCTAACCCCCTAGAATCTCTCTAACCCCCTAGAATCTCTCTAACCCCCTAGAATCTCTCTAACCCCCTAGAATCTCTCTAACCCCTAGAATCTCTCTAACCCCCTAGAATCTCTCTAACCCCCTAGAATCTCTCTAACCCCTTTAATAAAGTGTTCACCCCCACCAAAGTTTTGCTTCACCCCTCCTATTTTGTGTGAAAGGTTTTAACCCAAACGCCTAACCCCTGCCGAAGCTCACTGAGTGGTGCCACTTGCACCTCACCAGAAATTTTTCTACCCCTCCTTTTAAATAAATGAAAATCCGCCCTTGATCCTTTTTGTCAAATACATCTTGCCAAGCTCTTCTGGGCCAGAAATACACTCAAGCCTGTACGTATGCATCAAAATTATGCAGGGCTCGAAATAGGAAAAACATATGCCCGGCCAAACTATTTTTTTTGGCAGGTCATATAAATTATGGTCTCCCATTTCTATTTTTGAATTGCCAAAATGGATTAAATGTTAATTTTCTTCATTCACATCAATCATTTATGATCTTACTGTATAGACTGTTTTAACAATCAGCTAGGACAAACCGTTAACCAAAAATGGTAAAATACAAATCAATTGTGTGCCAGAGTCTTTTGAAATACTTTTGAAATAATTTACTTTGAAATAAAAGCCCCCATTCCTGAGCAAAACTTCACCGACTTGACCAAATTTCGCGCATTATTATGACTTTTTGTTGACTTGGCAGGTCAAATTTTTTTTCGCCTGCCATTTCTGAAATATGGCCAGCCTTTGGCCATTTTGACAGGTCGCTGTGTTGAGCCCTGTTATGTATACAAGTTACCTACATATGTAGAAATAGTGACTAGACATGCAAGTTGTAAAAATTCGTGAATTGGGTGGCGAAGTTATAAACAAGTATTAGTTAATTTTTTCCTCTGGCTTTCTGTTAACGAGTCCTTGACAGGGTTAACGCAGATATTGACAGGCACAACTTGCTAGCGCCATTACTGGTTCTTCAAACTCTTGCTCATAATTCCACTGCGACATTGTCCGTCGTCAAGGTAAATAAATTGCGTCTTTAGGTGCATTAAGCACACACGTATTGTAAAAACGCACAAGTTGTAACAAACCTGCGACGGACTTGTAGCAATGCCGTTTCAACAACTTTTTAACTGGATGTGTTCGCACTGCTTGTTACAAGTTTTCAACGACTTGTTGACAATTGGCTGCAAGGTTGTTGAGCTCGACAGACTTGTTACAAGTAATTGTTCCAACAACTTGTTATCGTTCTGCAATTCGACAATTTGTCAACAGGTTGTGAGTGACAACTTTGTAGCAACTTGATAAAATAACAGCATTGTTACAACCTACAAGCCTGTTGCGAACACATCTTGTTGACAAGTTGTGAGATTTTTACGTGCATAGTTTTGACGTTGTGTTTTTGCCGAACATGCCCAGAAAGATTGTCAACAGAACTGACATATTTATTGCTTTCTTAGGATTACATTGTAAAAAGATTACAACAAGAGGATGATCAAATTGCTCAGGTATATATTCTTCGTTGCAATGTTTCCTTAACAAGAAACACTCAGAGTAACATTAGAAACATCATGATTTTTCTGTGTTAGTGTAATGTACTCAGGTGAATATGATGCTTGTGATGTTACTCTGAGTGTATATCCACACCGGGCAAGCATGAAAAATATGCCTGAACACAGTGGGAATCGAACCTACGACCTTTGGAATACTAGCCAATGCTCTGCCAACTGAGCTACGCGGTCAGGTCGGTTCGAGTAAGTGATATTTCGGAACAGAATCTAGTTCCTTCGATATCAATGTTATCTAATAATAATCATGATTTTTCTGTGTTGGTGTAATGTACTCAGGTGAATATGTTCACCTGAGTACACTACACCAACACAGAAAAATCATGATTATTATTAGATAACATTGATATCGAAGGAACTAGATTCTGTTCCGAAATATCACATACTCGAACCGACCAGTAGCTCAGTTGGCAGAGCATTGGGTTAGTATTCCAAAGGTCGTAGGTTCGATTCCCACCGTGGTCAGGCATATTTTTCAAGCTTGCCCGGTGTGGATATACACTCAGAGTAACATCACAAGAATCAGAAACATTATATTCACCTGAGTACATAACATCAAAACACACACAAAAAATATCATGATCATAAGAACACATTGGTATCGAAGGTACTAGACTTAGTTCCGAAATACCAGACACTCGAACCGACTTGACCTGGTAGCTCAGTTGGCAGAGCATTGGACTAGTATCTCAAAGGTCGCGGATTCGATTCCCGCCGTGGTCAGGTAAACTTTTCAGCCTGCTCGGTGTGGATGCACATTCAGCCAAACATCAGAAACACTACATATACTGTTTACATGCACATTCAGCCAAACATCAGAAACACTACATATACTGTTTACATTTAATTTGGAAAGTCAACAATGACTATGTCGAATCCCTTTAGACATTGTCGATTAAAATTCCACGAATTATTACTTACAGGACGAACGACTAATCCGGCAATACCGAGAAGAAACGGAAAAAATGAGAACCCAAATTAAAGATCTGAAAACCAGGTATGTGTCGCCCTCGTACAGCTTGTCAATAAGATTTGTTCGCACTGCTTGTTCCCAGTTGTTGACAAGTCTGGAATAAGTTGTTATCATCTTGTAACAAGGTTGATGAGGCAAACAGACTCAACAAGTTGATGACAACAAGCTCGTAGCAACTTATTACGAACGGCCTGTATCAGTCTTGTTGGAACAACTTGTAGCAAGTCTGTTACCGTCATCAACGTTATAACAAGGTGATAACAACTTGTTCCAGACTTATCACAACAACTGGGAACAAGCAGTGCGAACATATCCTGATATCGGCTTCACAACAACCTTGTTGCAACTTGTTTGCTGATCTGGAACAACTTGGGTCTTGAATGTAATTTGTTCGGGGATTACATTCATTCAACTAAATCACTTTCTATGTCTTTCAGTGCGATCGTATTCCAATCAGCCAAGTGTAGTCTCTGTTCCAGGCCCCTTGAACTTCCGGTTATACACTTCTTTTGTCAGCATTCATTCCATACAGTGTAAGTTTGAATCGTTTGGCTAAATTTCTGAATTTATTACAACTATCGCTAATCTCATACGTGACATTTTTTCAGATGTTTCGAAGGTTATGCCGAGAAAGACGAAGAATGTCCAATTTGCGCTCCAGAAAACAGGTATAGTATACAGTAAGCTGGCGTGGCTTGTGTCTGAACTTTGAGATTACTTTTTTAGGTAGCTCAGACACAAACCACGACAGCTTATTGTAGAATACTACCTACACTGGACCACCATGTTTGAGATATCTTTTTCAGTTAGTTCAGACACAAACCACGACAGCTTATTGTGGAATACTAGACTACCTACACTGGACCACCACAATTTGTGCCAACAAATTGGTGTAAATGGGTTTCGTTAACTCGTTCAGTTTCATCTTTATAGGAAAGTTCTCGATATAATCCGAGCACAAGAAGAAATGAAAGATCTTCATGACCAATTTCACAATCAGGTATAAACTAAAAATACTTCTTAATGAAACAAACCAATATTGTCACCCACTTGCCCACTTGCCTCTGTTCTGATAATGTCAGCATAGAATGGAACAAAAGTAACCAAGCATTTAAATTACATATGTGCTTGAATTTGGCAGCAGTTTGTATAAACATGTTTGTTCATAAGTCCATTACTTTTATTCTGCTGATTGAAGAAAACCGTTCGTTGTTAATGATGTTTTTGTTATTATTTTGTACAGCTTGAAAGAGCCAACGATGGATTTTCGGTTGTGGCAGATTATTTCGGTCGTGGCGTGTTTAATAAGGTAGAGAAAAACATGAGAGATGCCTCCAGTGTTTATATGAAGAAGCCATTTGGTTGAATACAGTATACACACGTAACGCACAAGTTGTTACAGGTCTGCACACAAGTTGTTACAAATCTGTTCACAAGCTGTCAATAAGTTGTGTTCGCACTGCTTGTTCCCAGTTGTTGTAACAAGTTTGGAACAAGCTGTTAACAACTTGTAACAAGCTTGATGGCATTATCAGACTTGTTACAAGGTTGTTCTAACAAGTCTGTTACAGTCATGATATAACAAGAATGTTACAAGGTTGATGACACAAGGCTGTAACAATATTGTTATATGACTGTATCTGACTTGTTGGAACAACCTTGCAACAAGTTTGATAATATCAACAAGGTTGTTACAAGTTGTTAACAGTTTGTTCCAAACTTGTTGACAACTTGGGACAACCAGTGCGAAGACAACTTGTTGATAACTTGTTGGCAGTCTACCTACAAGATGTGAGACTTTTGCGTGTGAACACGTAAAAAGCTCACAGTTTGTCAGCAAGATGTGTTCGCACTGCTTGTTCCCAGTTGTTGACAAGTCTGGACAAGTTGTTATCATCTTGTAACAAGGTTGATGAGGCCAACAGACTCGCAACAAGTTGTTCCAACAAGTCTGGTATCGTCAGCACATAACAAGTTGTTAACAAGATCATGATAACAAGCTCGTAGCAACTTGTTGCGAACAGCTTGTATTAATCTTGTTGGAACAACTTGTAGCAAGTCTGTTACTATTACACAAACTTGTCAACAAAATGTGTTCTCACAAACTTGTCAACAAAATGTGTTCTCACATGCTTGTCAACAATCCCAAAAGCTTGTCAACAAGTTGTAGCAATGTTGTTATTTTATGAAGTTGCTACAAGGTTGTCACTTGTTAACAAGTTGTTGAATTGCAGGAGGATAACAAGTTGTAACAAGTCTGTTGGGTCAACCTTGTAGCAAGTTGTCAACAAGCAGTGCGAACACCTGATAACAAGTTGTTGAAGCAGCATTGCTACAAGTCTGCTGCAGGTTTGTTACAAGTCTGCAAACAAGTTGTTAGAAATCTGTTCACAAGTTGTCGACAAGTTGTGTTCGCACTGCTTGTTCCCAGTTGTTGTAACAAGTTTGGAACAAGCTGTTGACAACTTGTAACAAGTTTGATGTCATTATCAGACTTGTTACAAGGTTGTTTTAACAAGTCTGTTACAGTCATGATATAACAAGAATGTTACAAGGTTGATGACACAAGGTTGTAACAATATTGTTATATCATGACTGTATCGGACTTGTTGGAACAACCTTGCAACACGTCTGATAATATCAACAAGGTTGTTACAAGTTGTTAACAGTTTGTTCCAAACTTATTGACAACTTGGGACAAGCAGTGCGAACACAACTTGTTGGCAGACTTGCTACAAGATGTGAGACTTTTGCGTGTGAACACGTAAAAAGCTCACAGTTTGTCAGCAAGATGTGTTCGCACTGCTTGTTCCCAGTTGTTGACAAGTCTGGAACAAGTTGTTATCATCGTGTAACAAGGTTGATGAGGGCAACAGACTCGTAACAAGTTGTTCCAACAGCTCTGATATCGTCTGCACGTAACAAGTTGTTAACAAGTTGATGACAACAAGCTCGTAACAACTTGTTACGAACAGCTTGTCTTGCTGGAACAACTTGTAGCAAGTCTATTAGTATTACACAAACTTGCCAACAATCCCAAAAGCTTGTCAACAAGTTGCTACAATGTTGTTATTTGTTAACAAGTTGTTGGATTGCAGGACGATAACAAGTTGTTAGAACAACTTGTAACAAGTCTGTTGGATCAACAACCTTGTAGCAAGTTGTCAACAAGCTGGGAACAAGCAATCCTGTTGACAAGTTGTTGAAGCAGCATTGGTACAAGTCTGCTGCAGGTTTGTTACAACTTGTGCAGGTTTATTACAAGTCTGCAAACAAGTTGTTACAAATCTGTTCACAAGTTGTCAACAAGTTTGGAACAAGCTGTTAACAACTTGTAACAACCTTGTTGATATTATCAGACTTATTGCAAGGTTGTTCCAACAAGTCCGATACAGTGATGATATAACAATATTGTTACAACCTTGTGTCGTCAACCTTGTAACATTCTTGTTATATCACGATGTATCAGACTTGTTAGAACAACCTTGTGGCAAGTCTGATAATGCCATCAAGCTTGTTACAAGTTGTTAACAGCTTGTTCCAAACTTGTTACAACAACTGGGAACAAGCAGTGCGAACACAACTTGTTGATAGCTTGTGAACGGATTTCTAACAACTTGTTTGCAGACCTGTAACAACTTGTGCGTTTTTACGTGTGTAACTGTCGGTTGAACACCCGTAGTGAAATCTATCCAAGACTTATTCGTCATTTCTTTAGGTTACCATAGTAACAGACCAGACGGGTAAAAGAACGAAGGGGCTGCCCACAATGGACGAACAAACTCAAAGAAATTTACTGATGTCAAAATCACCTGGAAATCCTTTCTTAACGTGACGAATTAGCACAGAAAACTGCCTTCACGTCGGCTGTTGGGGCAACAGATAGTGACGAACTTCGAATCTGTTGACGCCTGCGGAATGGATGGAAACAAATTAAACTACATCTTTCTCAGTTCTAGTAAATTCCCACCAAATCAAATTACCAATAGATACAATGAAAATAAATAAGATTGATTTCTCACTCTTGACCATTAGGGATGTGCTTTGCTACCAAATTCACGGGTAACTTGACTTGTTGCCAATGGTTTTAGCAATCGAAAGTAATTGTTTTGATGAAAGGAATGATTTTCGACAATTTTCAGAAAGTTTGGAGTAGGTTGAGGCATTTTTTGAAATTTTTAAAAAAATTGCTGTGCCCCCCCCCCCCCTTTTTTTTTACCCTAGGGGTTGCCTGTATAGCCCTGTATAGTATCTAAATTATATGTATGAGTGAATCAGGTGGTAATGGAGTATAAACACGCAAAATAATTTGTAAATTGATAGATCTATTTTTTATGTTAATCTGAAACTGTTACGATATCTTAAAATAAACTTGAAGTTAATAAACTGAATGACACTTTTTATGTTATATTTTTATGTTTGTGCTATTTCTTCATAAAGTCAAGTTACTGATTAAGCACTTTCCAGTCTGATGTCTTTTCAAAAATCTATGGAAAACCCACTTCACTGGAACACGATATTTTGCTTCATATCACAGACACTAATCACGGACGCCCAATGCAGAGGCTGCACGCAGGCAGAAATGCACCCACCACGCATGCGTGCGTCGCTAATTTAAAATTCCTATGCACAAAATGGCTTCTAATTTTGATCACTCTAGCGTGTAAAACAATTATTTTTTAATATTTTAAAACCGTTTCTGGTGCTAAATCTTCCATAGCTGTATGGCAAAAGGCAGCTTGTTTCACTGGGGCCCGTTAACGGCTCTGACAATAATTTTTACTCTGTTTATTGCTAGCGTTTATTCCTCACTAGTGTGGTGGCAGCCCGTCAAGTTTACAGGAATTTTAAATATATGTCTTCTTGTCGTGTTTCTCTTCTGTATACTGTATAATTTTATCAAAGCAGCTTGGGTTGGACCTGGTTACGTGCCTTCTCAATGGAAACCAGTAAGTAAAAAGCTATAAACTAAACTAACTTTATTTATACTGGATAGTTCTGTAGACTATAGTTATGTAACTTACATTCTATAAAGGTCTACTAAATTGTATTTGTCATCCCTCATTGATCCAGTGTTACTATGGAAGGAAAGTTAAAATAAACTAACTTTATTTATACTGGATAGTTCTGTGGTTACGTTCTAAAGGCCTGTTCTAAAGACAGAAAATTTTCTGAAAATATTGTAAAAAGTTTTCAACTTCAACATTTGTTTGAACCTCAGAAATCTTGTCTGCAGCTTTCTTCTCTGAAGTTTTTAAATAAACAGACATGCTGAAATACAGCATTTTACATTTTAACCGAGGAATAGTACCAATGCAGCTTTGAACAACTGTCTTTGAAGGTTAAATTGTTAAAACAGGCTCCAAAAAAACCTAAGTGAAGAACAAACGGGCAAGCTGCAAATTTGTATTTCTGTATCTAATTTGATAAATAGTATTGTTTATTTTTGTCAACATTACACCCTGTCTTTATAGGAAAACATTGAACATGCGAAATTGATGCAGTTTTGTCAAATATGCAATGGATCCAAAGCTCCAAGATCTCATCATTGTAGACAATGCAATAGGTGGGTTATTCACAATGGCCAGAAATCATGGAGTCATGATTATATTTTATTTCCTTACTAATTTGCATATCATGGATGCATAATCCGTTGAAATATGGCTTCTGCAGTAAACATAATCCGTTGAAATATGGTTTCTGCAATATAATTCTATTACGCGATGCTGTAAATTGCAAAAACAGAGAATACGGTAGGTTTTTTGCAATTTGCCTCAATTGCTGGTCGCAGAACAGCCTGGTTTAAGTTACTACCTATTCTGCATTTTCGTTTGTTCCTAGTGGCAGTATTCTTATATAGAGTTAAATAGATAAATGCCGTGAAAACTAACCTCTGTACAAATATTGAAAATGCAGAATGGGTTAATTTCCAGAAAACATCCATACCTCTCCTACGGAGGAAATTGGAAGTTAACTCACCTTCCCCCTTCGGATGTCCTAATACATGTCTCCCCTCCCCCTCTGGACGGCATAAATTTCCTCTGTGGAGGGAGTGTGGATCTTTTCTGGAACGAACCAATAGGCAGTAACTGAAATCAGGCCAACCTTACACTAAATACATACTTTGACAGACTTTGTATTTTGCAGCCAGCGATTGACAATTTTTGAGTACTTTTTGCCATGCGCGAAGAGGCTTAATTGTGTCAAATGTTTCTCTCTTTCTTCAACAGGTGCGTCATGAAAATGGATCATCATTGCCCGTGGATAAATAATTGTGTCGGACATAAAAATCACAAGAGATTTACGCTGTTTTTATTTTTTGTCATAATTGGTTGTTCCTATGCTGCGGTTTCTCTGATTGGCTGCGTCGTTGAAATATTCTCAATAGTAGGTATCTGGTTGCCGAGCCTGAAAAACGGTTGGACATCGGACATTTTCCGACCGAATTAATTACAGTTTGTCCGCCCAAATTGATTACACATTTTGTCCGGTAAAAAAAGAGCAATCAGTTGTCATAAAATAATGATTTATAAAGTAATATTTTAATACTGAGTTACTGACGTAATTTGAATTTACAAAATGAAATCGAAAAAATGTCTGAAAAAATCGAAAAAGTTTTCAATTAAATGTCAATTTGTCATTTTTTCATGTCCCATATTTGATTTACGTTGGACAAAGTTACAGTTAGGTTGGACACCAATTCACTCGGGTCGGACAAACAATAAACCTTAGTTTCACTTGGGTTGGACAGAATGTCCAGTGGTTTCGTCTCTACATCGGACAATTTCACGAATGGGTTGGACAATGATCGATATTTGAAGGCCTGTTAGTAATTTAATTAGGTTAATAATCTTTAAACATGATATTTTTTGCAGTAAACAATTTTAATAATTAAAAATGTATAATGACTCTTTTAGAGTATAAACAGTCTTAAGGATTCATTGAGACAAGCTCTTAATAGAAATTCAGGAAATTTCAAACAGACACTATCTGAATTTACCCAGGTACTCAATAAATACTAACTAATAAACTAATTAATCATACTTTTCAAAATTTAAATGTTGAACAAACTGCTTCCAAGATTAATGATTGATAATGTAACAATGTAACACTATAAATAATGATATCACTAATGATCTGTCTCCTTCAACTAGCCTCCGTCGCATACTTCAAAACATGTTACACATGTTAAAACATGTGTTTTGAAGTATGCGACGCAGGCTACCTTCAACTAGCTATGTCTGCTATTCTCACTTGTATCCAGGGGCGGCGGAATTCAGTTTGGGGGGGCTAAATTTTTTTTTCCGTGACCTCCCCCCCCTCGCCAAAAAAATTTCGGTCAGTGTACCATTTTAGGGCTAGAAAAATTTTTCTGGACATATACAAGAAAAGGGATGAAAAAAAATTTTCCGGACCTATAACAAAAAATTTTTCCGCAAATACTCGATTTTTAAACAAAATATCCCAAATTTTTCCCATTATACCTAAATTTTCCAAAAATAACCTACATTTTTCCTTAATTATCAAAATTTTTCCAGAGAAAACAAAATTTTCTGGGGGGGCTTAGCCCCCCCACTTTTACTTCTGGGGGGGCTTTAGCCCCCCTAGCCCCCCCCTGTTCTGCCGCCACTGCTTGCATCTGATCTTCTTATGTTTGTGAAAGCTTATTAATTTCTAAAATTAATCCAGTTGCTAATGCTTATATGAGATATACTGTACTCCTAATCTTAACTGTTAATTACTAACTGCATAACATTAACATTTTGGGGGATATTTGTAATATTTGGGCCATTTTGAGAAGAAATGTAATCTATCTTTTATTGAAAAACACTCCTCTAGATAAACTTTTTCACTGTCAAAGTGTCTGGATATGAATCATGTGATGTCATTAGATGAATTGAAAATTAGTTTTCCTTTGTCTTTTTGCTCCAAAAATTCATCTAATCACATCATATCTGGACACTTTGACAGCTGTGAAAAAGTTGATGAAGACAAGGTTTTTTACCATAAAGATATATTACATTTCTTCATAGAATGACCAAATATTACAAATACCAAAAATCATAGTTGGGGTTAGTGGCACTTTAATTAACTATTCACTGACGTTTGTTTATTAAATTACACTGACAAGCTTTTCCTCGCCAAAAGGCCCGTTTACACTTCTAATAACTTCTTGTTCTTACCATTTCTAATACGATTTTCTTCTTCTGATACATGTGAAAACAGGGCCTTTTTAACTATATAACTGGGGGACAAAGCCCTCCGCAGCCCCTGGGTCCCCTCCTCCAATCAACCATTTTGCCTCCCCCCCCCCCAGTCAAAGTTCCTTTTCTCTAAAATTTAAGCAAAACATTGGAAGAAAAATAAATTTAGTAGAAGTTACGGGAGGTTTGATATTCTTAGTAACTAAAATTTGCTTTGTGAATTTTATGTTCTGTCTTTTATCTTCAAATAATTCAATGTCTTTTTAAAAATGGTAAACATTGTGTTATAAATACCTTAGATAGTTTAAAAATTGCCAGTGGATAGCATATCCCAGACCCCATAGATTTGAGTTGTTGGAAGGTTAGGTTAAGTTGTGGTATTTACATAAACATACCATGCAAGTACTGAACTGAAGATTTAGTCTATCCACAGTTCAGTATAATGTAACGCTGTATATCCAAAAATCTGTTTCAGAAAACGCACGAAATGCAGTCCTAGGTCCCCAGACCCGTCCCCCTTCTATTACATACCACACCAAACGTTTTGTCACCAACAAGCATCCGTCGTTCCTCCACACTCATTATAGTATGGTCCCTTTTTGTACAGTAGATGTCCCCCACGGATGAATTCTTAAAAAAGGCCCTCTGTGAACAAGTAGATAACTTACAAATGTTCTGAGTATTCGTATCCTTATCTGAACATTCAAAACTCACCCACTCGTTCACCAGCAAAAATTGCAAATGTAAACGGAAGAAATGTATCAGTTTTTAGTTACGTTCGTTATATCATAGCCTGCGAAACTCATTAGAATAACAATATAACTCATTATCTATGTTACTCAACGTTTATTCATAAATCTGGTCCTTCATCGTCACGTGTGTATTGTATTTTTTCCAAATTCACCAATAGCAATTTCCAATTGACCATATTGTTCGAGTTACGGATAGGTAACTTTTCTTTAACATTGCTATTGGTTAGTTGGGCAAAAATACAATACGCACGTGGCGGTGAAGGACCAGATTTATGAATAAACATTGACTAACGTAGATAATGAGTTATATTGTTATTCTAATGAGTTTCACAGCCATCTTCACTTTGATAGGCTATGGTTATACCAAGCTCAATCTCAGTCTTCTGTTAATATTTCCTCAGGTAAATCCTATTGCCTACAGAAGAATGATGGAAGAACAGTTAGTTCCATTTGGATTCTATCATCTTCTTGGCACGATATTTTGTATTGGTCTAGATATTGGTGTTACAATTGCTGTTGGTATCTTACTATATTATCAGGTACGTTGCTTGGCTTTCAACTACACGCGTAAAAACGCACAGCTTGTAACAAGTCTGCAAACAAGTTGTTACAAATCTGTTCACAAGCTCTCAACAAGTTGTGTTCGCACTGCTTGTTCCCAGTTTGTTGTAACACGTTTGGAACAAGCTGTTAACAACTTGTAACGAGCTTGATGGCATTATCAGCCTTGTTACAAGACTGTGCCAACAAGTTTGTTACAGCCATGATATAACAAGGATGTTACAAGGTTGTCAACACAAGGTTGTAACAATCTTGTTATATCAAGCATGTAACAGACTTGTCAGAACAACCTTGCAACAAGTCTGATAATGGCTTGTTGGCAGACTTGTTACAAGATGTGATATTTTTGCGTGTGTATAGTAGCATATAGAACAATCCAAATCACAAGTTTGTTCGACATGTTCATATTCATGCGTGAACTTTATTTATTTATTTAAGCACGGAGGTCTGTCATCTAAATTGAGATGACCTTCCCAGGCGCTGTGACATTTGAATTATTTACAATATTTATAAAAAAATGAAAAATTAAAGCTATGTACATTAAACAATTATTGAATGAGGTCGAGTAGGATTATATCCGAGACTAATTTTTCAAAAAGTCGGTGTTTGATTTAGGGCCTTTTGATTTCATGACCTCGTGTACCATAACTGTGAGTTAAATTTGCTCGATTAAAAACGGCCGTGAAAGATAACACCTAATTTTTGGAATATTTTGAACATTTATAGACAAGATTTTTGTTTCATTCCCCTTTCTTCTATAGTGTCGGCCAATTTAAGTCATTCAAAATTTGGGAAGAGCGTATTTCTTGCAGACTTGTAGCAATGCTGTTCCAACAATTTGTCAACAGGATGTGTTCGCACCGCTTGTTCCCAACTTGTTGACAAGTTGTCAACGGCTTGTTGACAGCTTGCTACGAAGTTCGTGAGCTCAACAGATTGTTACAAATTGTTCCAACAACTTGTTATCGTCCTGCAATTCAACAATTTGTCAACAAGTTGTGAGTGAGAACCTTGTAGCAACTTGATAAAATAACAGCATTGTTACAACTTGTTGACAAGCTTGCTACAAGCCTGTTGCAAACACATCTTGTTGACAAGTTGTGAGATTTTTACGTGCTTACTTGAAAAAATTATCGAGCGAAAACTCTTCGTCAAAGCAAGTAAAACCTTCCAACAAAAATATTTTATTTTTTTATAGGTTCGTGACATTGTTCGAAATGAATCTGCTATAGAAGCATGGATTGTTGAAAAGGTACCATTTAGTTATCAGCTAAGATACCGGACATAGACCGATTGATAGACTGTGACTAAACATTGTATTGTTTTTTCAATTCCTGTAAATTTCCCATGTCATCTGTATTCTTTTGTTAGGCTGCGTATCGGTCCAAAAACGACTCTAAATTTATTTATCCGTATGATCTTGGGCGATGGGAAAATTTTAAACAGGTTGGTAGGTCTTGTTAAGTTTCTCATTATCTACATCCTGCCTCGTCCCCAGGCTCCAACTCAGACACGCGGGTTCCGACGCAAGCATTGGACGGCTTTGGACGAAACGGCGCAGCAAATCAAAGCGCCTGGGGACGAGGCTGATCTACATCTACATATGTTAAGTCGGTAAAATTCATTACGGACATCGCACCAACTATTTACACTAAAATATTAGAATTACTTGATTTCTTTTTCTGTGTTGGTGTAATGTACTCAGGTGAATATGATGTTTGTGTTGTTACTCTGAGTGTATATCTACACCGGGCAGGCTTGAAAAATATGCCTGGCCACGGTGGGAATCGAACCTACGACCTTTGGAATACTAGTTCAATGCTCTGCCAACTGAGCTACGCGGTCAGGTCGGTTCGAGTATGTGATATTTCGGAACTGAGTCCAGTTCCTTCGATATCAATGCAATTAAAATTACTTGTTATCAACATTAAAATCCATTGTTAATTTTAAAGCAGACATTAAAAAATCATTAAGGTTAGATTTAAAAAGTTCGAGTCCGAAATAACTACATTTTCAGGCAACTCGTTCCATTCTTTTATTGTTTTAGGGAAATATGAAAATTTGTAAACATCTACCGTAACTAAAAATTATTAAATAACTAAAATATTGATACCTGGTTGTAAATCTAACGCAATGGTCTCCTTGCATTCATTCTCAGTTATAATTTTCAGGTGATCCATTTTAAAGGTGATTATATTGGTGACGGATTTACTTGGCCTGTAATCGATGGATGTGATCAATATACACTAACAGTAAGTGTTTAAAAGCAGAATTTTTACAGATTATTGTATAATGTCCATGGTAATTGTAATGGCAGGTAAGTAAACAAGCGAACGGGGCTGTGCTGATCATCCTTACTTGCAGCTGAGATCTAAGCTGGTTTATGATACTTCTTTCTGTAGGTTGAACAGTTGAGGCAAAAGCAAGTAAAGAAACATTTCGCTGTGAGTATAACATACATGCTGTTCATATAATCGTTCATGGTCATTTAAAGCTTTGGTCAATCGAGAATGAGGGTCACTAATTCAAGCATAGAAAAAGTATGGGACCACTGAACCATTTGGTCCCAATTTTTGGATGGAGACAGAGAAAGGGCAAATACGCCTCGTTTCTAGTTTTTGCTAAGTTAACTGTCAAAGTGGTCACAGAAAGATACTATTCCCAGTTGTTGTAACAAGTTTGAAACAAGCTGTTAACAACTTGTGACAGGCTTGATCGCATTATCAGACTTGTAGCAAAGTTGTTCTAACAAGTCTGACAAGTGACAACAGTCGTGATACAACAAGAATGTTACAAGGTTGACGACACAACGTTGTAACAATATTGTTATATCATGACTGCATCGGGCTTGTTGGAACAACCTTGCAACAAGTCTGATAATGCCATCAAGGTTGTTACAAGTTGTTAACAGTCGATTCCAGGCTTGTTGACAACTTGTTGGCAGATTTGCTACAAGATGTGAGAATTTTGCGTGTGTAGTCAAGCAGAGTTAATCTCCGTTTTCAACAATTCTATCCATTTACATGTTCGCGTTGTATTTTATTTTCTAGGTAGATTATAAGAGTATAGAAGGTTACAATGGTAGTTTCTGTGGCTGGCGACAGGGCTTTCGTACGTGTTTAGCTTTTCCGTGGTCTTTGGAAAAAAGATTAAGATTTCAGAAGGAAGAGAATCTTCTTGTCACGCGGTGGAGAAAGTATGTTAAAATGGTGCCCACAGAATATAATCCATTGGATGTTGTACACACGTAAAAACGCGCTAGTTGTTACAGATTTTCAAACAGTTAAAACAAGGTTGTTGTGAAGCCAATATCAGGATATGTTCGCACTGCTTGTTCCCAGTTGTTGTGACAAGTCTGGAACAAGTTGTTATCATCTTGTTACAAGGTCGGTGACGATAACAGACTTGCTACATGTTGCTCCAACGAGACTAATACAGGCTGTTCGTAACAAGTTGCTACGAGCTTGTTGTCATTAAAGTGCCTATGACACGAAATTTCACCCCAAAGGTTTATGATTGCATTGTAAAGATCACTTAAAATGACTTCTAATAATTTCTTTTATAGAATTTTGGTAACTTGCTCCCTTTTCAAGATATTCAACTTTGTTTCATATGCAAATATCACCGGTGTGACATCACATCACATAATGAGTTTTCTGAAAAGTATAGTTTTCTTGACGAATACGTATCTAAAAAACTTAACAATAGCCCTTGTATATGTATTAATTTCATAACTGGTAATTAACCCTCTGTATTTGTTTGTAAAAGTATTTTATCAAGGTAAAATATTGCGTTTTCAAAATGTCATTATGCGATGTGATGTCACACCGGTGATATTTGCATATGAAACAAAGTTGAATGTCTTGCAAAGGAAGCAAGTTACCAAACTTCTATAAAAGAACTTATTAAGTCATCTTAAGTGATCTTTACAATGCAATTATAAACATTTGGGGTGAAATTTCGTGTCATAGGCACTTTAACTTGTCAACAACTTGTTACGTGCAGACGATACCAGACTTGTTGGAACAACTTGTTGCGAGTCTGTTGTCCTCATCAACCTTGTTACAAGACGATAACGACTTTGTTCCAGACTTGTCAACAACTGGGAACAAGCAGTGCGAACACATCTCGTTGACCAGCTGTGAAAATTTTACGCGTGTATCAGATATAAAGTACAATGGCTACATGATTATCGTGAAATCTTAATGATATATTTTTGCATTCACTTTATAAAATAAGTATTCATTTTAAGTTCTTTGTAGGTAATTTGCATGGCGATAAAACATATAATACTATTGTTTGTGGAAATACCACGTAAATTTATTACTGTAGTAGTAAATTTACGTGGTGTTTCCACAAACAATAGTATTATAAGTATTCAATTTATTGATTAACAAAAACCCACATTATTTTGATAGGTATTGGTTATATGGCATGAAAATACAAGAAGAGGAAAATTCAGGTAGCGAATTTTTGCGTATTCATATTCAATGTTCTCCATTATTAGCTTTGAGCAAAGAAGAGCGAACTTCTTGCTACCGTGGAAATCCGACCTTTATGCAGGCGTGGATCTGCTGTGGGGGTTCAGGGGGGGGGGGGTGCGCGCCTCACCTAGTGGTGTCTAGCAGCTCCTTACAGAAGTCCAGCGCTACCCCAAAAATCTGCTTGACTGTACATTTCCTGCTTTTCGAATACTACTGCTGTTAGCGGCTGTCGATTTCTTGAAACAATTCAATTGATTTGCGAGATCACTAGAAAACTCTCCGAATGCCTAAGTTAAATATCATGGTCAAATATGTAAACATGTCGAGGTTGTTATACAGCCATTTTTCAAATTTTACTGTACTGTGCTACAGCAACTGTCCAGTCACGCATACGTGCTAAAAAGCCGATATAAACTTTATAAATAAAAGATAATGTAAAACGTAACAGAACGGCGAACATGCAGATTCAGCCATCTCAATAAATGGTAATGTTGGGATAGTAGCGTTGCAGACTGCAGAGGAGAGTGGGCAGTAAGGCTTCGTCATGCACCATCCCATGGAAAACCTGCACCCCTCCTTGCATATGAGGCTAGATCCTCCCTTGCCTTCGTGACTTCATCAATTTCAATTATAAATCAGGGTTCGTACAAAACTTGAAAGTCTTTGGATGTCCTTGAATTTGAAAGGCCTTGAATATCCTTGAATTTGTAAAGAAGTACTTGAAATGATATTTGTGATGTTACTCTGGGTGTGGACTTGTATATCAGCAAATTCAAGCACTAAATACTGAAGAGAAGATATTAGAAATAAGTAAAATATGACGCTGAATTGTTCAAAACGCAACTTTAATAAGTTTCAAACAGCTTTGTCAGATATGAACATGTAAAATCAATTCAACAAAAATCAAATAAAAATTTAAGGACTTTCAAGTACTTTTTGTGTGAGTTGGTGTAATGTACTCAGGTGAATATGATGTTTGTGATGTTACTCTGAGTGTCCATCCACACCGGGCAAGCTGAAAAGTTTGCCTGACCACGGTGGGAATCGAACCCACGACCTTTGGGATGCATGGCCTTGAATGTCCTTACTGTCGTTCCAATTGAAGTGTTGCTCGAATATTGATTCAATACATTACCTCGGGCTGACCAATTCATTTCATCAAGTTCCTCGAGATATTCATACACTTCCTAGTATAATTGTAAACTTCCTGTTGAATAGTTTGAATGCACCAATCACCTTTGTTGTTTGTGCAACTAACCAATCATAAATAGAAAGGAAGTGACCAGAAATGATCAAATATTTGGAATTGGCTCTTTCACAGGAAGTGTATGAATATCTCGAGGAACTTGATCAAATGAATTGGTCAGCCCGAGGTCTATTCTGTGCCGAGGTAATGTATTGAATCAATATTTGAGCAACACTTCAATTGGAACGACAGTAAAAAGTCCTTGAATTTGAGTCTTCCTGACAATACGAACCCTAAGAAATAGCCAAACAACATCAAAATAGAACCGAAATCAGTGACACTTTACCATGAAATGATATTTCTCACAGACCTTTCGTTATGTTTTCTCTGTAGTTAAAGATCCCGAGAAGGGCTGGTTCCCAAGGAACTGCGCTGTCCGCGTCGACGATAATGAGGGACTAGAATCCAATCAAGAGAAACCTAAAGATCAATAAACTACAGTCGCAACCCTAGGAGAAATTTAGTTCAAAACTGAGAATATAGTATTTGCCTTATAAGGCTGAGTGTGTTGGTCTGTTGTACCATAAAACATTTGGTAAACTGTATTTATGGAAAGGTCCTTTTTGGCAGAATAATTTCTTTTTTAAAAAAAGTAGTTTGCCTATGACATTTCTTACAAATCCTCAAACAGTTCTTACAAATCCTTCAAAATTTACCCATGCAAAATTCCCAATGTGATCACAGATTATCGGTGTAACAAAAGAGTCCTTACTTATTAGACTCCGTTTATTTTCCCCCCCATCTGCATTTGTGTTAAAGTCTCATTGTCTCAAATCAGATCTCAGTAGCGCTATCTGCATCTGTTCATCAATAGATGCCATCGACGTTAGCATGCGCACATTCCAGTAAAGTCTTACGATCAGTGGTAAAAAAGCAGGCGAGGTCTGCGGGCTGTTCGCGGGTCATTCCAGCGACAAATATATCGGCGTTCTTCCACTTTTCTCGGACAAATATGTCGAATTTTTCACGAGGTTCCGAAACGTAGTTGCTCTTTGCATGTATATTGTTTTTGTGGTGAAAATGAATAAAATATCATCTATTATGCAACGATAAAGCAAGAAACAAGGTCGCCGATCAAAAGGTAAGCTTCCTTCCATGTTTGTTAGTTTTAATATTGACCTTTTGTTAGCTTTCAGTGTTTGTTTTCGTTCGAAATGTTCGGTCTTCGAAACATATGGGTACTATAAAGTTGCTGACTTGCTGACACATCAATCCCAAAACTGTACGAAAATCTAAAAGGATAAGTCAACTTTTCAGCCACAAATCTAATACGACATGCACACACGATCTCGTTTGCCAAACGTTTGCCGCGGAAGTGCACAAAATTACGGATTCATCGTGGGAATATTAGGTTTTGAAAGCCCATTTTGGGCTCTGTTTTGTATTACGTTGTAAACAGAATGCTCTTTGAAGTTAAAAATAGACTGTTTATTTGTTTTCCCACGTAAATTCTAACTGTTTCTAATGAGAGAACGTAAAACAAAACTTGCAGGCTATGAAATGCGAATTCCTCTTCGGTTAAAATCGAAAAAAAACTGCGGGAAAATGATACAACTTGTTTCAATTTTGCTTTATAATTGAGGATGTGATTCTTTTCATTTCGAAACGTGTAATTTTTCGCTTATTGTTTAAACTAATAATTCGGTAGATCTAAAGGCAAGATATGATAAGCATTGACTTATAATAATACTGGCACAATACATTGAATACATGATAACAGCAGAAATTTTACTCTTAAATTTCCCCAACTTATAGTGACAACTATGATATCATGTAATTTGCCACTTCTATGCCTCAATATAGATTATTTATAAGTAAATGCTCTAGTATAATATCTAGTTTAAGTTTTGGTTTAGTATAGTATGTAGTTTAATAAGTTTTGATTTAGTATAGTGTCTAGTTTACATTTTGGGTTTTGCCGGCAAAAAGAGGCTGTTTAAACTAGAGTTTTCGGCAAGTGTTATATAAATGCGATAGCCAGATGGTAGCTGTTTTAGACTATAAGTTCTACATATTTATTAATAAATAATTGACATATGTCATGTGCTTTATGTGTTTACTTCCTATTCAGTTTTGATGTGCATCAATAATTGATGTTGGAGTGAATTTTCACTTTGCGTATTAAAGGCGCAACAGATGGTTGGCAACTTTGGAAAATGTTAGCACCGATAGAAGTTAGAGTTGCTCCTATTGGTTCATTTTCATAATCGATTTTAGAATCTTTATTAACAATTGATTCATATAGATTTCAGTCAAACTGGATGTTCTTTTGCAAGCAACGTTGCAACATTGTCCCACAATATTGCAATTTTGATAGGTAGATTGCTCTGAGCAATTTGCAAGTGACACAGACAAATTGCAAGTTAAAATTCACCAAAGATTTGTAAAAAAAGGGAAGCTCCAATCCAGTTGCTCAGACTATTGATTGGCTTCCTTTTTGCTAATAGTCCAACTAGTTTTGTCTACAAATCTTTTGTGAATTTCAACTTGCAATTTGTTCATGTCGCTTGCAAATTGCTCGGGGCAATCTGTCTATCAAAATTGCAATATTGTGGGCCAATTTGCAATGTTGCTCGCAGGAGAACATCTAGTTTGACTGTAACACGTATTGATTAATTTGGCCCCCTTATTGTCACCCAACAATCAGTCGGTATCTACGATTGAAATTGTTGTTTACTTAAGGCTATAGATTGTGCACTTTCCCGTGCAGGAAGAATTCATACAAGTAGAGAACAAAGGAAACTAGTGAACAAGGGAACACAGACCCCCCTTGGAAAACCTTCATTTGTACAATCGCTTCCTCATACTAACGCTTCCCATAAGTTTCCTCTTAACCAAACGTAATATTTCAAATCTGACTCTTTGATCAATTTGCGAAGCTGAGGACTGAATCAAAATGTGAGGACTTGAAATCTAGTCCAGTCCAAATTGGAGGATTTGAAAAATATGAATTAGTCACTACTTAATTAAAGTGAGGTGAATTAATTTTGAATCAAGTCCTAGGACTGGATCAATATCCTTCACCAGATATCCAGTATTACATAATACCTTGTTCAATTCTGATCGTTTAATTGGCTGTTTATAGTCACATGATATTGAATAGAAAATTCCATTTCCCAAGAGTGCAATGGAATACATCCAAGCAGGATAGCGTGATCCATGCACTTGGGATGTTGCTCGACTTTTGGAAAGCATAAAAATACACTCGCTGTGGCTCGAGTATTTTTACGCTTTCCGAAAGTCTCGCAACATCCCTCGTGCATGGATCACACAATCCTGCACAGAAAACCATTCGGTATTCCTTTAATGCCTGTGGTTGTTCCATGCGTGAACAAGCAAAATACAAGACGAGAACACGCTACAAACTTCCTCACGACGTAAATAGGAGGAAATTCTGTCTGTTGTAATTAGGTTAGGAAATTCTGTCTGTTGTAATTAGTAATTAGGATGAACAATTATATAATGCCACATGCTTTATCAGATATAAAGTCACTCCACGTGACACATTATGACTGGCATGATTTGCCACAAGGTTTATGAATTATTAATGAGTATTGTTAGAATTTGAATGCCCTAGCATATATTATAAATTTTGACTTATTAAGAAATTAAAATATCTTTGTAAAGTGCAAGATTTTCTGCTCTTGGGAATTTAAAGCAGCTTCTTAAACAGTTTCTTTATGCATAAAATTTACTTATTACTTATATCAAGCTTTGATGCACTTGTGGGTTCAGCAGAGTGCTGAGGCATTGAATTTCTAACAATACGTTATTTCAATAGTTTTGGGGTTTTTTGGGACACCCTGTAGAATAGATGGTTTGGAAACTCGTTAGAATAACAGCACAACTCATCTATGTTAGTCAACGTTTATGTACTATTTAAAGCACGCGTAGGAGTGTTTTTTCACATATAAAACACGACGCGTAGCGGAGTGTTTTATATGTGATAAAACACGACTACAAGTGCTTTAAATGGCTTCAAAAACGACTGATCTTATACGAGTTCATTGGTGAAGTAATTTTTAAAATAAACTTTGTCTAAACCGAGAAAATCAAAGCTAAAGTTTATGTAAATTAACATGATTTTTTATCACATATAAAACCACGACACGCTTATGTACACCCTTTCAAATTCAAATTAACCGTAATCTATTGTAGTAATTTGACAGCCGTATAATTTCTCGAATTAATGAATGCGTGAAAACACAAGTTCTTCTGCACATGGGAATTTAGGATAACTTCTATTTGTATGAACAAATACACAACTCAAAGAAAAATGTTTAAATTAAGAATTATTCAAGTCTGCATAAGATATAAAATGGGCCAGCTTACTGCAGAGCAACGAATATTTAAAAGTTAACGCTAATTTGAAAGGGTGCATGCATTTTTTTGATACACCCTGTATATCTGATACAAAACAATTAAATTCAATTTTCTCACCAAATATCATTCACTTGTTTCAAATTGTTGAAGAATATAAATTTTCTCATCAAGACGTTTCACAAGCAAGCCATTTACAATATTCTTGCCTTCGGCTGGAATTTGTATATCCTATACAACTATATAATAAATAATGAAGCCGCGTTCGTTTTATCTCGCCGTGTTTTTCCATTTTCGGCCGCGGTACCACAAATGTCAATTTCATTTTTAGGTTCAAAATCATGGATATGAACGGGGCGGCTAACTGCCAACAACATGATGGCCCGAGGGAACTCGAAATATTCTCAGATGAACAGGTCGAAGAAGTGATGGAATCTCTGGAATATTTCAAGAGCAAAATCGAACAGCTTCAGGCGTATTGCGAGCAAGTGAACCAGAATAAAATGCAGGTCGATGAGAATCTTATCGAACAGAAGCGAAAGCATCATGAAGAATTGGCGAAGTATCAAGAGGAAATTAGCGCGTTGAGGAATGCTAATATTCAGTTGATGGCTGGAAAGATCGCTTCTCCAGGTATATAAACAGAGCTTGACCCTTTAAGTTTCATTGCACCCTAATGTGCCCTGGTTAATTATTTTACTCTGTCTAATACCAGACGATTTTAATACTCAAGGGGAGAGCGCTGGGGGTTCGATGGGTCAATCAGACTGCCCATGTGTCGAGTTAACCCATTAAGTTGCTGGGCACTCTAGTCCAGTATTTTCACTATTTTGCTCTGTCTAACACCAGACGATTTTACGCTCTCATGTGTTCAGTATAGGACTCAGGCATTCAAATTATAACAATAAGGTGAATTTCTAAAGGTCCTATTTTTTGAGACGCCCTGTGTAGTTAGTACAAAACCAGAGGTACAAAACTAACGCCACGAACTGGCTACGAAAAATTTCTCCAAGCTCTTCGTAAACTTTAGATAAAAAAATTATGATCGGTAATTTCAGTGGACAAAAGCCTTAGATATAGGGTCGCGGGAAAACCGGAAGCCCAGGTATTTTTTAGCCTAACTTTGTGCCATCAATAGTTCTGCTTAATTCAGGCTATATTCACACTGTACCGGGGTAGCTTTCCGTTGCGACGTGAAAAAAACGCCTATCCGTACCTTTTAGGAACGCTATTTTCAGGGGAATTATTGCAACGGAGAGATGTTGTTTCGCTCAGCTTCTGAAAGTTGTACATTTCGTATCGGATAGATGCTTTTTTGCGCCGCTACGGAAAGCTATCTGGTATAGTGGAAACGTGGCCTAAGATGTTTGTGGTGTTACTCTGAGGCAGCGTTTACACTGTACCGTTTTCGTAGCGTTCTCGTATTGTTCTTAATCCTCAAGGGAACGCAAGACAATAGTCTAGTTCTCTCGAACAATACGAGAACGCTACGAAAACGGTACAGTGTAAACGCTGCCTGAGTGTGCATCCACACCGGGCAAGCTGAAAAGTTTGCCTGACCACATTGGGATTCGTACCCTCGACCTTTGGGATACTAGTCCAGTACTCTGCCGACTGAGCTACGAGGTCAAGTCGAGTTGGTGATATATTAGGAGATAGTATTGGTGATAGTATTCACCTGAATACATTGATATCTTAGAATACATTGATATCGAAGGAACTAGACTCTGTTCCGAAATATCACCAACTCGAACCGACTGGGTCCTCGTAGCTCAGTTGGTAGAGCGTTGGACTAGTATCCCAAAGGTCGCGGATTCGATTCCCACCGTGGTCAGGCAAACCTTTCAGCTTGCCCGGTGGATGCACACTCAGAGTAACATCAGTGATGTTGTGATGTTACATCACAAACATCCTATTCATCTGAGTACATAACACCAACACACACAGAAATCATCGCACCCTAAGATATTATCACTTCGTATTTTAGAGAAGAGAGGCAATTTTTCAGTGTCCGCATTGAGCTGTGCTATTGATTCTGAGAGTGCAGAGGCAAGGATACAAGATATGTCATCAAAGGTAACACGCACAGATTTTATGTAAACTGCAGCTAATTTTTGCTATCGAAACATTGTCAGGATGAAAATAAATGTAGATGGGCTTTTGTAGGTGGAAGTTTGAATTTTATACATTAACTTTAGGGAGCGGTCATTATTTATGGCGGGCAGTTGCGCCGAAGATTTTTGCTGATCTAACCATTAAATGTCCAAAAAAAAATTTTCCCAACTTCAAATGTCAATGAAAAAATAAATACCTACCCCTGACCAAAAGCTTTACAAAAGGATACCATTCAGTTGTTACACATGTCGTTTACTACTTCTGTGACATGAGTTTGATAACTGCTTGTGTTTTCTGCAGTCTAAAGTTTCATGTTGCCTGGATATGTACTTTCTTTGGAGACACCATTTGCCTCCTGACAAATCGGAAAATGATCAAGATAGTGACTCTGGTACATATTGTATTGACATACGACTGTTGACATTGCTTTTTAGTCTTCAATATCTGAGTGAGTCGTGCTTTGGAAATGATTACCCAACCCTTGAGTCGTTTTGTTTTTCATTCACTCAAAATTTTCATTCACTCAACCTTTTACTCACTCAAAATTTTGTTTACCTCTTTTTGTCTCTTCGGTGCCACCCCCTGCCTAATTTTTACCAAGAAAAACACTTCTCATCGGTGCCACCCCGCGCCATAAATAATGACTACTCGCTTATCTTAAATAATCATTATTTAGGTGCGAAGTTTGGAGTTAACACTTGCTGAAAAAGACAAGCACGTCTCAGTAATGGAATGGCAGATCATGGACCTCGAAGCAACAATAGCGACACTACAGGCCGAGCGAGATCAACTAGTCCTGGAACTAGAGCTACGACACACCCACGAAAACATTGTCCAGGGTGACGAGCCCCTGGGTGACATAGATGGGGATGAGGACTTCGATAGTGGGCTCCCTGACTCTCATAGAAAACAAAACCCCACAAACTCGAGGCGAAGCCACAGTGATCTCTGGGGAAATGGGAACGAGTGTTTATCTTTGAGACAAATGTTGAGCCTTTCGGCCGAGTGGTCAGTGAACGACGGCCCGGTGCGCATGCGTAAACCGCTGCAAAGACATTTCAGCGACTATGTCAAGAGGGACGGCCGTGTTCGGAGCACGGACTTCTCGCGACCGAACACGACCCACAGTCTGGAGGATTTTGACAATTTAAGCGAAGTCGACAGCGGCTTAGGTCTCTGCAAGCTGACTCGAACCATGAACTTTTGCGACATTTTAGATGCTGACGAATACAGCAACATCCATGTCGCAGATAACAGATTAAGCTTCACCACTGAGTCTGTTTTGGTGGAACCTGGCGAAGAGAATGGCTCCCCTCTGCAACCGTTGTCGAAAAAATGGGCAACTTTTGAAAACGGTTTAGGAAACTCCCTTGAGGAGGATATTCTAGGAAATGGAGAAATTAAGGTTTCTCAGAATTCTGAGGCATCCCATGGGGGTAATGGCGTCTCCCATCCCCCTGGGGAAAATGAGTCCCTTGGGAGTTCGACCAGTGATTTTAGCTCGGCTTTCCATTCCAGTCAGGATATTCTGGTCAGCTCCATGGAGGAGCCATGGGTCTCGTCAACTGTCAGTGTTTCTGAAAGTACTCCTGTACGGGATGAGGAGAAGAAGAAGCTCTCTAAGAAAGCGATTTCAAAAAGTGATAGTTGTATTTTGCCGTCAAGATCAAAGTCGCCGCCGTCGGATAAGGAAGATATGTGGAATTTTACACCCGATAGTATTGTCAATGTTTCCACAGGTTAGTATATCAACAGCGTAAATGTTGCTCCAGTACTAAGAGTATTACTACAGGAGGAAATCTAGATTGAACTTTACTAGATAGCTCTATCGTTTCTAAACTGTTCTTCCTAGAGGTCCAGTAAGAGCCACCCCTTATAAGCTCCAGTGTTACTGCAGGAGGAAACCTAAACTAACTTATGTTTATTTTATTTATCAGTTCTAAACCGTTCTTCCTGGAGGTCCAGTAAAGGTCATCTCTTATTGATCCAGTGTTACTACAGGAGGAAACCTAAACTGAACTAACTTTATTTCCACTGGGTAGTTCTATCAGTTCTAAACTGTTCTCCCTAAAGGACCAGGAAGGATCATCCCTTATTGATCCTGTGTCACTACAGGAAGAAACCTAAACTAACTTTATTTATACTGAATAGCTCACCAATTCTAAACTGTTCTCCCTAGAGGTCTAGTAAGGATCATCTCTTTTATTGATCGATTGTTGCTACAGGAGGAAACATGAACTGAACTAACTCTATTTATACTGGATAGTTCTATCTGTTCTAAACAGTTGTCTCTAGAGGTCCAGTAAAAGTCATCCCTTAAAAACTATCGAAGCAAATAAATACGTCTATGCCCCCTGCTTACTTCAGAGGCAATGGGCAGCTGTCTAACCACATCTGACATCCTTGCTTCACTTACTGGCTTTAGGAGAATATAACTGATAGAGCTATCCAGCACAAGGACATGGAAGCCATATGTCTGTCAAAGTGTTCAAAAGAGACTCGTGTGTCAACTAAACTTTTTGTTCCCTAGGTGAAATTTTAATCCCTTCATTAGTGGAGACGCCACCGTCGCCATCACTTAAAAAATCACACTCCTTTACATCAAGTATTGAGATCGTGCTAAAGAGCCCACAATCACCGGTGACATCCCAAGACTCCAGTGACGGTGAAGAGAGGTCAGTTGTGGACAATGTTGAACAAACGGTAGATTCTATGGATAACAGCGAGGATAATGGAGTAGAGGGGGCAAAATTGACCCCTGAGGAACCCCAGGCTTCTGAGACTGTTGTATTACGAAAAAAGTCCGGAAAGAGTCCGACCCCCCGGGAAAAACATCACGGGAAATCAAAATCGGCATGCGAAGGGTCGCCCTCTGAAGAAAATACGGAGGGATTGGACAGTAGGCATAAGAAAAGTCTGAGTGATCCAATCAAAAAAGGGGGCGAGAAACGCGGACGAAGGAAGTTGATGGAATATCAGAAATGGCAGAAATATGGACGCCACGGTAAGCCGCCTGGTGATCTGAAGATTTCTGAGTAAGTATCAATATCATTGTGGTGATTTGGGAGCTTAAAGTGCACCTAACCTCATTATTTTTATCATTTTTTCCCTCCCTCCCCTTCCATAAATAATGACCGGTCCCTAAGACGTCCGTCAGCTATATTGAATGCAACATGCCGCCAAAACAGACATTTCCCATTATAGACCAATTTTAAAACTTGGCAAGGAAATGCAAATTAATCACCACAGCTAGAAAGAGCATTCTAAAATGAGTAAAATTGCAAAGTTTGGTTGCGAAATGCGGAAAATATAGCCTTACAAAGTTTGCAAATTTTGTATACTTTTGTATTGCGTGCGGAAATCGCTACCATTTTCGGCCCAAATGTGGTAGCAATTTCGGCACGCAATAAAACGTTTTCGCAACCAAACTTTGCAATTTTACTAATTTTAGTATGCTTGTTTTCGGGAATATACTTTTTTTGCCAAAATAAAAAAATAGTCTATAATGGCCGGAATTGTCTATTATATAATAACTACAGTGAAACACGCAATTTGATTGGTCAATAGCCGTGCAGGATCAGACAATCCTGCACGGGAAATTCTGAACAGAAATTCTTGCACATAATTTTACAAATATACTCGCATTGTAAAGTTTCATTGTACGATACTTTTCGACTTTGAAGTAAGTTTCCAATTATTGAGACGTTGGTTTAGTTGTATGAATAAATTTCTGATCGATACATTTCTCTATTCGGCAAGTAGCAACGCGAGTAGCGTTGAAATTCATCAGACCATGGCATGTAAGTACAACATCTCTCGCTTCAAAGTTGATCAAACGCTTCGCAATCTTCACATATTCAGCTCGAGAATCTTCAAAATTACTTTGGCTCTCTGTTTAGCGGGTTTTCCATTTCAAATTTCGTATATCTTATCGAAAAAGTCCCTGTATTTTCGCTGTATATTTTCGCGAATTTGCGATCAAATTCTGTTCACATTTGTTGTTGTTTTCAATAGCGTGGAGTAGCGATTCTCTGATTGGTTAATTCACGAATGTTGTGAGAACTGCACATTTCATCAGTAATTTTAATCATGTTAAGCGTCGTTTCACTGTAGTAATTTTATAAAACAATTACCAAATGGTTTTCCCGTGCAGGATAGCATGATCCATGCACTTGGGATGTTGCTCGACTTTCGGAAAGCGTAAAAATACACTCGCCTACGGCTCGTGTATTTTTAAGCTTTCCGAAAGTCTCGCAACATCCCGCGTGCATGGATCACGCAATCCTGCACGGAAAACCATTCGGTATTCCTTTATTAGTTACACCAATTTTTGGGTGACGTCCGAATTGAGAAAAACTGTTCTGCTAATCGGTATTCGAAAAGCAGAAAATGTATGGTCAAGCAGAATTTTTTTTAGGGTGATGCTGGACTTCTCTAGGAGTGGGAGGGGGATTGGTGCTAGACATCACTAGGTGGGGAGCCGCACTCCCCTGTACCCCACTTTAGATATGCCCCTGATTAATTTCACTTTCTTTTTAGCTGTTAACAACAATGGAATTACTATTAAATGGTAAAATGTCTGTTAAGGAAGCTATCTGCTACAAGGCATTTTGTGGCCGACAGTATGAAAATTTATAGTAAAAGAACCTCGAACAGTTACGTGGTAAAATTTGTACATAATAAATTCAGTTTTCAGAAGGGATTTGGACTTCAAACTATATATAGACTATATTAGTTCATTTGTTTTGTTTTGTTTGTATTATAGGCTGTAAATTCATTTGGAAATTATCGTTAATGGTTGTATGCTACTGACAGTAAATGTATTATTTTATAGTTGAAAGGTGTATAAATATATTAGAGTATATACATATGAATCAGAATGTTCAAAGTTACAAAATGATCATTGTTCGTGACTCGTTCTTTAGAAGGACGATTTCTATAGTTTTATTGTCTTTCATTGTTATAATCAACCAGCCACGAGGCTGGATGGTATAGGTAGATGATGACCCAAATCTCCTATACTATATATCACAAAACGATATTCATCCGCAAAAAATCTCGATATTTAGTCCAGTTACCATATTCTTCGTGCAGTTTTGCTCATAAAAATAGTGGCCGGGGGCGGGGGTATTCTTTGTTATTTTCAACTTCGTTTTTCTCTGTCAACAACCAGTTACTATTATGAGATCAGTTGGCCATAGTGGTTCACTTAGATTAACCTGAGTATCAGGCCGTACTTTTTAGGGCACAGGCACGCCTGGTCGTGGGCGAAGGGGAGAAAAGTACGGCCTGACACAAAAGTGGCATTTTGCCTGGTTGTTCAGTCCAGAATCTGGACTGAGCGCTGATTGGCCGATTAGACAAACGATTTTTAAAATCTGTCATTTGATTGGCTGGTGCTAATTAGATTATACTATTGTTGTTGATATATTTTATAACGATCACAACTACAATTATAGCCGGCCCACTAAACGGCTGAATTTAAATTAAAACTGCAGTAAAATTAGAAAATAATCGCAAATTAGCGAAATATATTGCAAATGTAGCTTATATTAAATCGCCATCAGATTGCACTATCGCCTGACGTATAGTTATAAAGTATACTTAATATATATATATATATATACTTTATAATTATACGTCACTGTTTGTTGATAAATACGGCAAGCGCCATGTAAAGCTCATTGTAGTCACTGAAACCTCTGCGGGGGAGAGAGCAATCGGGTGGCGATTTAATATAAGCTACATTTGCAATATATTTCGCTAATTTGTGATTATTTTTGTTAATTTTATAAGTTCATTGCAGTTTTAATTTAAATTCAGCCGTTTAGTGTGCCGCCTATGCTATAATTAGATTGTTGTTGTCGTTGTGTGAAATTTAAATTTCTCCTGCGACATTTTGATTGGATACTAAATATAAATTTTGCTGTGGGCGGAAAGCGATCAGGTTAAGTTTTGTGTCAGGCTCTATTTGTAAAATAGAGCCTGATACTCAGGTTAGATCGGTATCGGCCGATACCGATACCTATTTCGATACCAAAATGAACACAAAATTTCAATTTTCGATACCGGAACTGCATAATACTTAAATTGCTAGTATCGGCCACTTGCGATACCTGCCGGTTAACGGAAAAACATTTTACATTACTATATGTAACCTAAATAAAGCTATATGTAAACCAAAAGCCCGAAACGTAATAAATATTTTCTATACATGACTTGGCGCACCACATTTGGAATATTAAGAGTTATTTTAGTGGTTCATTAAGTCTTATTCAACCAAGAAGTGAAATTAAACAAGTCGTTTAAAAAAGGGTGCAAGTATCGAACGATACCACGTCAGTAATCGATACCGATACCGCTGTTTGTGGTATCGCTGGTATCGAATACTGAGTACTCGGTATCGCCCATCACTAGAAGGGAGAATTAGGCTATGTTTACATTGTATCGGATCGGATTTGCGTCCGACGCAAAAACCATACCGGATAGGGCTTCTGTTTACATATGAAATGTTGTTATCGTCTCAATTTCTGCAACGAACCGGTGGTGCGGCGGTTCGCTCTTCGAAGTGGTGCGCGGTGTATCGGATCGGTTTTTGCAACGCTCTCATTGTAATGTAAACACCAGTCGGAGCAATTTCGGTTCAATCTGGCAAACAACAACTTACTATTCTAATAATATATAGAAGAAAATACGACGGCATAGATGGGCGGGGCGGAAGCTGTTTACACTTGGGCCGTAACTTTTCGCGAACGAAACAAAAACTGATCCGATACAATGTAAACATAGCCTTAAACTAAAGGGTTGAAACTTCGACTAGATGACATTTCTAAATGCCTTAAAATTCACAATTTATTTGTATTTTCGAATATTTTTTTGCAGTTTCTGTGTCTTTTTGGATATATCTTCACAACTGATGTAGTAGATTCAATAAACGATTGATTTTTCGTATGTTTTTACATGAAACACTCGAAGGGTTTTTTTCGCACAATGTGTTCCATAAGTAGGTTGTTCTCGTGACGTCAAGTATAATGAGTCCAAGCCATTTAAAAGGTTTACAGAACTTCGAGAGACGAAATAATAGATCAAGGGATTCAAGTACGTTTTTAAAAATAAATACAATATTTTTTCAATCCTAACTCACATTGGGGCCCCGTGCGAAATTTCCGGAGAACAACCTACTTATGGAACACATCAAACGATGAGCCGCCGAAGTTTCAACCCCTTATCTCTTCTGTGCCTTTAGTTTAATTCAGGGTTTAATTTTCCCTTCTTTTGCCGGCTTCGTCTTTTCGCGCCCGCGGTCCTTACTTGTCAGCGATCATCTATACTTCGTGAAACGTCATGTAGAGTGATAGTATAATGACTCCAAGCAGTTTAAATTCTTTAAAATGTTTACAGAATTTCGGGAGAAGAAATAATCGATTATCAAGGGATTCGAGTAGGTTTTTAAAAATAAATGCAATATTATTTCAATCATAACTCATAGTGGGGCCCCCTGTGATATAACTTTACTTGTTGGGCCTATCGCATTTTAGTACTGGGGGGGGGGGGGCTTGTCGCGCTCGTATTCTGCTTTTCCGCTTTATAGCACGGGGAAAACCTTTTAAGATTTAAAAATCTTAATTGAAATAGCTTTGTACTGTATGTATCATGTACAGTAATGTGCGTATTTGTATATATAGCCCCAGCGAGTTAACGCTCCGTAGAGCGTCTTGTTTGTAATAATTTCCATCACTTTTTCTTATAGAAACGTAGAATTTTGATAAACATTTGTTTATTCCGTCAATATTCATGTCTTCAAACTCATTTGTGAATTCTGACTGTCGTTGAAACAAATCTGTTGTAGAAAATACTTTTTTTACAAACGTAAACAAATGTCTAAACTATTGTACGGCAACTTAAATAAAACGGTGTTTTATGCTAAATAAAGTTAAGCAGAATTCTGGAACGTAGTTTCCCATCTCAAAATACTTTTAAGCCAAATTTTGTCACTTCTTTCGTGCTTTTAGGTACAGTATTTTCTTTAAAATTAGTAACTTATTTCTTTGAAAAAACGCTTAGGTGATTATCGCGTAATAATCCGAGGTCGCTTGACCAATCAGCGCCCACAATTTTCGATAATCACCTTTGCAGTGCATAATGTGTCATTAGCAGTGCATAACCATATTGACTATGCCTATGGGTAGCTTGTTTGTGCAGCGGATGACTCATTTGTTAGGAACTTGTTTTGACGTCACATCGCAAACAAGCAAGCATATATAAAGACGACGACGTAAGCGAATTTCACTTCGAGAATCATTGAATACATTCACAGATCTCGGGAAAATCGCATTCATGAATGATGTTGAACGATGTTATTCTTTATATTGCGAAATTTCGGTAAACTTGTGAAAAACTTGAAAGAATATAAGACGAAACTATACTTCGCTATCAAAGTTTCTGTCATCAAAATCGAAAATGACTTTAATCACAGAAACCAAAACCTTGTAAGCGAACCTTTAAAGTTCAGAAGATATCTCTATTTTCGGCAAGTTGTCGGCTGTTGTCCGTTCGTCAAACTGTCCTTTCGACAAAATGTCCGTTCGGCAAAACGTCCGTTCAGCAAAACGTCCGTCGGCAAAATGTCCGTTCGGCAAAATGTCTTTCGGCAAAGTGTCTTTCGGCAAAATGTCCGGCCACCGGAGCGTAAGCCAGGGGCGAGGGTACTAATTCCGCACGGCTATTTACCTCTAGGGACAGGAAAGCATTAGCGAAGTCTAACATTCATCAATAATCGTGGGCGCATGGCTATGTTTCACTGGGTTCACTGTTCATGGGTGGTCATCTTCACTGATCTCAAAAATATGGCGGACTGTCTTGAATAGCGAACGGTGATTGGCTAAATTTAAAATTTACTTTATTGTTATTGTTATTGTATTTTAATTTCACATCCCTTAAAAGGCTTTTCAGCGAAATTTTACATAATTGATCTAAATTTTTATACACTGTAATAATAGAGAGACACACATAACAACACACAGTCACACAACACACACACACACACACACACACACACACACACTTGGTAGTACTACACAAATATATATGCTATTTACATCAAAATGTCTTAAGATTG